ATAGAAGAACCTTGCATCGAAGCAGTTAGGGGCATTTTATATGTCGTCCTGGGAGCTTGAAAATACAAATATTTAGCAACATGGGGGCACCAGCGCATATTTCAATTGGCTTGTAATACACATAAGACAGAAAAAAATTTTGAAGGAACTTTTTAAGCAGATTATTGCCAGGTGCACTACCTTTTTACATACCATGTGACCTATCTAACTCTCGTAACAAGCATGTGGTATAACATAAAAAAAAAGGTTTTGCTGAAAACTAGGTTCTTCGGAAACATTAAAAAAATATATCACACACAAAAAGAAGTTTAAAAACTGTGATTACACAAGAATCTTGGTAACGTAACAGTGGTCCTTCACTTAAAGCAAAGCCTGACATGATAGCGTCATGAGCTTTTAACAGACAAGAAAAGTGCGCTGCACTACCGTTCGCGACCATCTTGTGTGGGACCACTTTCAAGAGTGCAGCGCGGGAACCGAAAAACTTCGCTGCACTGACTATGTCGTAAAGCGAGTACGTATGGCACTAAATGATATGTGAATGATACTGATAACGCCTCTCCACGCGAGCGATCGCACATTATTAGGGCACATGTTGACCAGTTCTATTTTTTTTTTAAATATTGTAGGTCATCACCGTTGATGTAGGACTCCCGATAACAAATCGACTTGCGATTGCCGCCCATGCTGCGACTCGCGTAAAGCGCTCGCAGTGCTTTAAAAAATTCACAGGTAAGAAATTCTTGTCCACACAAATGAACCGCCAAACATACAAAGGCCGGTTTTATTGCAAAGAGAAAAAGAATAAAAGAAAGGAAATGACGTCACACAGCGAAACGGCCGCCGACCGAAACACCGATCGAACATAGAGCTAAGCTTAAAAGCTCGCATAGCCCAGAGTCGGCATGCAGGGACACCTCTTGAAGTGCTCTTTGCGAGTTTTGATACAAAATGAAGCAGTGGCCAATCACCATTCATAAAAAATGGGCCACGTGATTGCCAACGAGTCATCAGTCACGAATAAAGCAGCGATGTGGCCGTTAATATTTAAAATGATTTGAACGTGCACTCTGTCACCACAGCTTCGCAAATAAATAAGTCTTTCTACCTGCGGACACAGATGTGCGGATTTCGCCAGCGATAAATAAAAAAAAAATGCAATGCGAACTTTCTAGTTTAAATAAATTAGTAGCTAATGGGCATAAACCGAGAATGGGTTGCATGCGTTATATCGCTCAAGGAACCAGTTTCGAAAACCCGTATGCACGTGCCAGAGCATCCAGGAGACGCATCGCATGCAGGAAAATGACTCCATGTTTACAGTTACTAGCTCACAGCAAAAGGTCCACGCATAAGTGACTGCATGCAGCAGCGTCGACATGAAAACTGCACTGAGCGGAGGAATACGCTAAGCACAACAAAGAACCTGAGAGTCAACTCCGCTACACTCACCACTCGACTCTGTGATTTTCATTAGGCGACACTGCAGCGGCACCAGAACACACAGCCTAGCTTGTAGAAGCAGCACGCTTGATGCACGGCAGCTCTTTTTTGCAGGGTCGCGCATATTTACAACAGTTTAGAGGAGATAATGGCGGCAACATGCATGGAAGCCTTCGTCACCAAAAAGGTGCAAAATAAAAAAAAACACACAATTGGGCACATCTTACAAGTGAACTCAACTTTCTTTTCCCCACTAAAGCTGAGGTTAGCATCAAAATTCTAGCTTTTTTGGAGCAGTTTGGCTCAATTATCGCGATTTTTATGCCATCGGAGAAACTTGGCACAAAAGAAAAATGTATCGAAAACGCACAATGTGCGCAGCTGTCTCGCTGCTGATAATAATATTAATAAAAGGATCAAGATCAACAAATATACAGGGGAGGGTCCCAAAGTAAAAAAACTGTAGTGGGACCCTGCGCCCTTCTTATGGCTATTTTTGTGAACAAGGCTCCTGTAGCAGGTGCCATAATGTCAGTAAACTTTGTATTCTTTTAGTAGGTGCATCCTTTCGTGTCTTTATTAAAAAGCAGCAGTTGTGCAATGCTTTTTTTCTTTTTACACAACATTTAGCTGTTCACTGCAGTTGCAGCTGAAGCAGTAGCTTTTTAAGCTCTGATCTATGGTAATGCTTATTTTTGTGATGGACGCACAGGCTACAGTCAGTTTCCATGACCAGGCCAGACTTTTCAGAAATTCCATGACTTTTCCAGATTTTCCAGGTTGACAGACACCCTGTTATTCCACACGACAAAGTAGCTTTGCTATGCCTTCCGTCTAATTCTTCCTTTTCCTAATCTCTTTTTGATTCTTGCCTTTCTTTCAATCCATCTCTTCAATGAACCTCTGCACATGCCTTTCCTTCCCCCCACCACACAAGGTCATGCCTATGCAGGTGCGAATCTCGCTTCAGCAAGAAAAACATTTTTCCCCAAGAATTTCTCCCTCTGCCTCTGTTTTCTCACCAATGACGTTACTGAGTCATTTGCCAGACCAATCAGACAAAAGCAGAAGCAGAGTTGCTAGGTTGAAACGACAAAAACATTGGCTACTTTTACTGCCAAGGGCAGTAAAAGTAGCCGAATGTAGCCATGAATGTGTGGAAACTACTTCCGCGTTTTTATTTAAATGACTAAATGTACCGTACTTACTCTCACAATCCTCGCACTGTCGTAATTCTCGCACCTCCCACATCCCCAACAAAATACGATTTCTTTTTTTCCTCGAATAATTATTGCACCCCGGAAAACTGCCGCAATAATGTCATCTGCTCGTTCCAGCCATTGATGATAATAGCGCGCCCCATCTCTTAACCATCAAGCGTATTATTGCACGGAGATGCAATCCAATCCAAGCCAAGCCGAAGTGGCCAGTGCGCGTTGCGGCATGTTTCAAGTTGCAAGTGATAGATCATGCACTAAACAACGGCAACAAGACTGCCGGTAGGCCCTTCGGAGTCTACGAGTTTTGTGTTCGCTACTGGTGACGGCAGCTGAAAGCCACCAAGACGCGTTGGGCCTGCCGTGTGCCTAAAACTGGGATTGATGATAAACTTTATTTCTTCAGAAGGAAACCGCGGACGATTCTGTTAAATAGCCATCAGCCCAATACTGACATCCTACCCTTACCTTTTGAGGGCTTCTGTTGAGCGACAAACGCTATCGCTACGCCCGCAACGTACACAAGCTTTGCGTATGGTATTCGAATTCTCGACTATTTGCTTTCACTTTTTGTGTCTCAAATAAATCTTGTCTTGTGTTGAACCTCTGATTTTATTGTTGAGGTAAGTTTTAATTACTACTTCTTAAAGCTTGCTGTTAGTTGCTGGTGTGATAATCCGGCTTTGCGGCCACATTGTTTTCTTTTTCGCTATGTACGTTTTCGTGGAAAGTTTTCCTCGCGTAATTCTCGCAGCCCTTAACTTAGCATTGATTTTCTGGCAAAAAAGTGCAAGGATTATGTGAGCATAACAGTCAAAACCTTTAAGTGAAAATGTAAATATGTGCTGCTTCAACAAATCAAAATTACAATTTTTAGATTCCAGCATAAATTGCTGACTTAAGCAATCATTTCAAAACACATCACTGTTAAAAACATGACTTTCTTTTCAGGCGTCTCAAATAATTTTTCTTGAAATGACTTAATGTTAAGACAATGAAAGACAGTCTACTGAAATCAAGGCTTAGATGGATGTTCGCCTGGTCGGGAAAAATCATTGAATAAAAAGGCAAAAGCGGCGATTACAACAGAGTAGAAATGTAACAACGTTTCAGCTCCTAGAACGGGAGCCTGAAGGCTCCCGTTATGGGAGCTGGACTGTCGTTACATTTCTACTCTATTGTAATCACCACTTTTGCGTTTTTATTCAAGACAGTCTACAGTATGATGAGTGTGCTCAAAATCTGAGCTATGCATCGAAACGTAAACTGGAGCCACTTTCACAAAATTTCTTCCATGATTGCAGTCTGCACTAAGCCTAAGAAATGATACAAGCAGCTCATTGGGTGTCTCAAAAAGATTGTTCGCTGGCTGACTGGGTAAGACGTTCTAATGCAATGGGTGATCTTCAAAGCGAGGCCCCTTGCCACAGTTCTCCCAACCATGCAACTAAAAACGTTTTTGTGTGTGTCTGCGTGGGACAGGCCTGCTTCACTGGCAGGTTAATTATGAAAGTGCAATTTTTTGTATTTATGTTATGAATGACCTCTGACCCTTGGTTTGATGCAAGAGCATCAACTTTTTGCTAATCATAGTTCAAATTTCACATTCGAAGCTTAAGCACCCTTTGACTGACATGTTCTCGCCCCATATACTCAAACACCAGTGGTCACCAAAAATTGATAACTTTGCTCAAATCTATAGGATAAGAAAGTAGCCAAAAAGGAGCCAAGCAGCAGGCTAAAAAAGTACCTAGGCGAAAAGTAGCCCAACCTAACCTTAGGAGGTCGAAGGGGGTGGTGCCTGCCTGGCGGTTCATGATGACGACGACTATCTACAACACTTGGCCAACCTTGACCTTAACAGCTCTGCGATAAAAAAATTATGCCCTTGAAGGAGCACAAAGACTGTTGCACTGCTACTCCCAAAGTTGATTTTGCATGTGCCTTTCACTGCATGTCCCACAATCATCCACTCGTTTAGGTAGCTGCCCTTCGCCCAAATAAAATTTATTTTGAAGAGCCATGTCAGCTGCCCAGACAGTTTGCGTTTAACTGTTCCCCAGTGACATAAATCCTACTATCCAACAGCCGAGTATAGGTACTGATTATCACATTGATGATGAGAAAAATTCCATATGCCTCTAATTTCAAATAAGCTGAACACACAAGGAGCAAAGCGTGACATAGCATTGAATATCAGATGCACATTTCTTTCTCATCAGATGAGCACAAGTTCTCTTATTGCTGTTTCGATAATATTCATTGACCATTGCAGGCGACATTCATCCTGTGGCCGAAAATGTCGTGTGTATCATAAACTAGCTGAGAATGTTGTCTCACCTTTCGTAGAGCGTCGGGAGTTCCTCATGGAGTTCGTTATTGATCACTTCGTACATCTGCTTGGCTTCCTCAAGTTCTTCTCGTGCCTGGAAAAAAAAAAAAGCGGGTCAGGCACAACCAACAAATTAAGTTCTCATAAATATGAAGGCATTCCTGCTGGTCACATAATTATGAAAAAAAAAAAGATCTCACACTTGGTGCAGGCAACCAAGTGTAAAATGCAAGTAGAGGCGCCCAAGGTGGCCTAATCCATGTGTGTCCAATCACAGCCAAGATAATGGCTGAGCACGGTGGCGCAGCTGTGCACTCTTCATTGTGACCTTGCCTAGGCTCCAGGATTGGTGGCCACCGTGTGAAGAGAAAGTGGACCCCAAACTCATCATTTATTATAATGCCCCAAAGACTACCAGGCTGTTTGATTGCCTTTTGAATCACGTAAATATTAGCACATTAAGTCCTTCATTAATTGGTCTTTATGACTGTCTCAGGCACAACCCCCACTCTCGTTCTCACCGGCTATGCTCCTCGGGGCGCAACGACGCTTTGACCGCCATTATGATATTTGAAAAAGTAAAATGCCAGAGATTATTACTGCATGCATCTTAAAGGAACTTTGATGTGATTTTATCAACGCCTGATGACGAGGAAAGTTTCATGTTTTCAATCCGAAAAGCTATACCGCAGGAAGAGTAAACAATAGGTGGCATTTTTATTCAATGAGGCAGGAGCAGACTAAAAAAGAGCAAGGCGCATCACTTTCTACGGTATAAACTATCTAAAGCGGTGGTACCTTTTCGATGGATAGTGTCATCGCTTTGATGATGGCACAATGAAGGCTTAAGAAGTCTATACTAACGATGACATCTCTTGAGCAATGCTGTAGTACAACGAAGCTTGCGGGATACATCTGGCTGTTAATGATGCCTGTAGCTGTGGAGATTCTCGCCGGGGTAACTACGTGACCTCCAGCTGTCCGGATTTCGGAGTCTTCTCAGGCAGTCTTAACTTTCTTCAACTTCGCGGCGAACTTCCCACTGATAACAAAATAGTCGCCTCAGATGTCAACGAGAGCTGTGACGAGAGCCGTCAATGAGAACGTCGAAATCACTTGTTTGTCCCCTTGCATTGCTGTTGGGTCTTGGCGTCTTTTTCGATTGTCGTGGCCTCGGTGAGGAATTCGTCGACAGTCTTGGGCGGGTAGCGCACAAACCCCGCAAACAACTCTTCTTTGACACCTCGAGTCAGGAAACAGAGCTTCTTGTCCTCATCCATGATGGGGTCATGACAGAACAGCTGGGCCATCTCTTTGATGAAGATAGTAACGTTTTCGCTGGGGAGTTGTATGTCTGTCTTCAAGATAGTAGCGGCACGTTCCTTGCAGATGACACTCGTGAAGGTGCTCAAGAATGTTTGAAAAAGATCCGAGGTTTGTAGCATGAATTTTCAATTCTCGAACTATGTCTTCCCAGCGTCTTCTAGGCGAAAATTAACGTGGAGCAGTTTTGTTCGATGTCCCAGCTGTTTAAGGCGGGGACACGGTCGTATGTCTCAATTCTAATTTCCAGGTCTTCCAGAGCTGAACCACGAAAAATTTGTTGTTCCTTAGGATGCGGGAAAACAATCGATGCAGGTGGCACAGGGGCTGTCATTGTCGCTGTGGTTGAGGTTTTAGCGCTCCGGGTCGGTTCAGGTACTCCGGCGGGAGCCCTTGATGCCGGAGGATGGTTTGCTGCTCAGCGTTGATGCTGATGTCCTTTTGACGGTGTTGGCTCGGCTCACGGATGGGGGGGAGCGTTTGGTATATGGGTTGGGATACACTTTCACCAGATGTAACGGGGTCGTGACGCGGACGAAGGGAGCAGACAGGGTGTTCAGGTTAAACCGTTTATTGGGCCATACTTGTGGCTACGTAAAAGGAAAGTCAGATAGCAGGAAACACTGGCACTGGTAGCAACGAACAGAGTGTCGGCCGTCAATCGATTGACAAGCTGCGAAGTGCAGAGGCATTAAAGACTGGTTCACACTGTCGACTAGCAGCGGTCGCTGCGATTGACCAAGAAGCGACCTAAGTTCACACCCGCAGAGGCTACATGCGAGCGACGAAGTCGCGAAACCGGAGAGTCACGTCTGAATCTCGTTATCAGTGAGAACTCTGGAGACCAGCGCTGATCAGTTGATAGCCTTCAGCTGAGCGAGCAGAGCAAACCGAGCGCGCCACATGTATTGTTTTTGTACGTTTTCGCACAGCCTTCCCAGCAGCGTCAAGGAGTTCGATTCAAGTGAAGAACAAGAGATTGTCACGGCGCTGGTGCGCTATGCTATGGTGTGGGCACTGGCAGCAAAAGAAAAAAAGCCGGTGGTGGGTGTGACTGTTTCATCGCTTGCGAGAGTTGGCCGGCCATGCAAGCCGCCTACCACCAGAGCTGTGCTGAGACGATGAGGAGTAGCGCAATTTTTTCCAGTCATGAAAAACCAACTAGCCCAACAGCTCAATTTGCTAACGACGGGGAGTATTTCCGAGCGTTCTTACGTATTCAAAAACGCACCTTGGATTTAACTCGACCTTGCCACAGCCTCCAATGCAGCACAAATACGTCTCGAATGCAGTGTTCTTAGTCGGTAATATAGTCGGTGGCAAGGTATGAAGTGCAAACGCGTTCCAAACACACTCCATTGAAGGAGATGGCAAGTCAAGTTCTAGAGAACAAAGGATTCTGAATACAGAGAAAGATAGTGAACAATCCATTTTCTCCTCATTTTGACGGTACTTATTAGCTTCTTGCGAATGCAACCACGTAAATTCGACACTTTGCTCAAGCTGCTGCGCCCCGCCATCTCCAAGCCAAGTACTCCGTGGTGGCCATGGTGCCACAGACCAAGAGGAACACACCCATTTATATCTGGCGATAGGAGGCCAGTGCAATGAAAAAACAAAGAAATGAGCCTGCATATAAAAAAAATGCTGGTGTCACTTCTGAGCGTTTGTGATTAATTCTAGCAGTTTTGCGACTGCAGTCGCGGGACTAGAAAATCAGTCAGGAAGTGACTAGCCAAAGCAGTCACTATGTGACCGTTTGCGACCGTTCGCGACTGTCTGCGACTAGTCGCAAATGGTCGCACGACCGCTGCTAGTCGCCGGGGTGCACCAACTTTTATACATGTGTTGTTGATTGTTCAAGCCTTATCACTGGTCTTCGTGAAAGCTCTGAAGTAATCGTGAGTGTTCGCATCGTGGGACAGTTTTAGCAAATTGATCTACAATTATCGCGAAATTTCTTGAACAATGAGGCACAGTTTGCGCTGAGAATTCTCAACCGAGGCTTTGTGGGTAAAAACCTAATCAAATAAAAGAATAAGGAATGTGCGTGGAAATATCACTGTTGCGTTCAATTCTCGAAGACAAAGCTTAAGGGTCTTACGCACCTTTTTTTTTTTTTGTCGACCTGCTTATAACAATTATCAGTTACAACAATGTGATTTTTCTTGGCACTTGGACATTCTTACAACTGGGCTGCGCTGTATGCACATAACCGAACAGCTATGATGAAAATGCACCTGGATTGCTTCGACTGCAGAAAATGCTCACCTTGCCCAGTTTGTAGTCGTCCTTCTTCTTGGCAGAGTTACGCAGACTCTCCACACTGTGCCGACACTTGTCATAGTCTACCAACTTGCGACCCCTCTTGGCTATGCGGCCCTGCAAGAAGTACAATGCTTCAATATGACACGCCAAGCAAGGTCAATTTTTTTTTAAGAAAGGTAAGAGCACATTGCAAACCCGGCCAAAAGAGCTCTCTTTCCAAAGATGCATTACCAATACCCTCAGAGAGCCTGACTGATGAGTAAGAAACGTGCTTTGCTGGGTGTGCAAACATGAACAAAAAAAAGCATGGATGTTTAATGTCACGCAACTTCCTTTTTGTGTTAGCATGCCCTGTCTATTTTAGAATGAAAAGGCTTCCTGTCACTTTCACTGCATTTAAAGCAGCTGTGTCATACACAGGCGAGGAATAAATGAGGCAACTCTTAGTTTCTTTTAGTAAGGCACACTTGATTTGCAAACCATTCCTTTGTGAATGCAACAATGTGTTCTATATGTGCAAAAGTCAGCTCCAAGCATTGTGCACCTGTCTTTGTTTTTCGCAAACAAATCAAATCATTCTGACGGCACCTTGACGAGAGCTCCTATACCATGCGGGAATGCACCAACGATTCACTAGTTTTGCAAAATATTTCCTCGTGTCTGGCAAGCACACAACAATGTCACACATCTTCCATCCAAATTTCTCATAGTCAGAGAAGCCACGTGTCATCCCCACTCAAATTTTTTTACATATTATACAATGGATTCAACAAGCATAGGCACAACAGATGCGCCAACTGCACCAGTTTGACAAATACCCCTATTTTATCCCTAAGCTGAGCCATAGCTGCTGAAACTGCGCTATTCTGTCCCAAAATGCCTTAACTGCCTTAAGATCTTCTGTTTTGCTAACTTAAGCAAAAAAATATATATATAGGAGCCACGTTGGCCACCAGCAGTTAAGGCCACAATGAGAACAGGAGAGATAGCCCCTCGGTGCCAATTTGCCAATGCACCATGCGTTCCACAAAATGCTCGAGTTTCCACCACTTCTCCACAACACAGCAGCCAGAGCCAATTTCTCCGCTCCGGCAAATTTCAAAGTACATAGCATTAAAATCACATTTATACATCTCCAAGTTTTCAGAAAGATTTTCGTAGTATACACAAGAGAGGTCTTTACAGCGTTCCGTACTAACAGCCAATAAGAATTGTATAATTAAGGTGGTGGTCTCACTCCGGCAGTATGAACACACCGTTTTTGCCAGTTTTCCAACAAATGTGGCGGTTGTTCTTCCAGTTTCAGTATAGCTGACTTATACAACATTGAAAAGCTTGATTTTTGCACATTTTAAATATGTCTATCAACATCAAGTCAACCTTTACTATTTGGAGGCGGGCAGGCAACAATAAGCGCTGTTTACGCAGTTTGGGCTAACTGTGCCTCAGTTGTGACCATATTCTGAAATATCTGCTACAGTCACAGCACTGCTTCTTGCACAGCATATACAGGACATATTTATCTATTTTTTCGACGTAGCAAATTTATATAGGAATTCAACTTGTTTGTTGGTCATTTTTTGAAAACAGCCAAATTTAGCAAAATTAGCTGTAGACTGGCCGCTAACTACTCGATAAAGGAGGTTCATTTTCGGCATGCGCATAGAAAACAACATTCCCCATGTGAGTTTAATTTCATTGCTTTACGCTTTCTGGTTTTTTATTTAGAGTGATCTCAACTGGGTGATTTTCTCAATACGTGGAGCTACCTCTGCCCATTTTTATGGCAAGCTACTGAAGTTCTGTGGCTGAATTTGCACATAGACAAACTACAGCCCATGATCTACTTACGTAATGTAGCGTTTTTCATTAAAGCTTGCAGAAATCTGAAACAAAGCTTGTAAATTGTCTTAATTTATACTGCCCGACACGCCAACAGAACTGCAGTTATTTTCAAACTGCATTCAAATTTCAACATGAATATCTTACTAGAAAATAGTTCTCTCCTGACATAATTATACACATGAATCATACACAAACAGTGCATTACCATTAAGAATTCTACTTCATTTTTACCACTACATAGAAAATCTTCCTCTGGCGCCATATAGACAGACAAAAAGAAAGCAGTGCATCAAAAAGCTCGCTGTTTTTCCGAGGGTAGTGTGCGAAAATATTTTACCTCAAGAAGAATGCCTTTTCTAACTTAAAACTATGCAACCCTTTCAGTCCCCACCAAACTAGCACTCCACCGCCCACTCCTTGAACCTGTCTTTTATTTCTGCGTCCCCTCAGGTGAATAGCGAAAAGCAGGTGTTCTGTCCACTGAAAGGCAGTGGGGTGAAGGTTATCAGGTGAAAAGGGAAGCCTTATCCTTGAAATGTCCCTTGTGGGTGTGGGTGCTTGTTTGCGGCTCACTCGGGCTATACTTTGAATCAACGACAGACAAACGAAAGCAGAAACGCCGACAAGAAATGTGGTTGGCCTTTTCAGGTACCAGCTGAAATACTGCGTGAACTCTAGCTCTACAGCGCAGAGCAAGAAACGGTAATATCAGACAGGTGTTCCAATCCTTTGTGTTCCCCCTTGACACGGCTGGTGAACAAAAAGAAGCGGGGATAGCCCAAAAGGATGCGAGAGGTTAACGACTCTCTGTCATTCCTGGCACTAGTGCTCTTAAATGCTATAAGTAGTCATGGTACGGTGCACGCCGTCTTCATCTACCCATCTACCTGTTTGTGACATCACGTGCAAGTTATGTATATCAATAAACAGCATAGATAAAAGACGAGGCACGCATAAAAAATAACACAAAAACTGTTTTGTACTTGCCGAGTTCCTTTCTGTCATTTTTACGTTACAATTACGGCGAGTAAGTCATCACAGTCAACTGCGCTTGCTGTGCTCTAAACTTGCTAGATTAGGCTGCAAGGCGAAATATGGCAAGATACGCCAACTCCAACCAGCCATGATTTGTAAAACTGACAGTCTTTTGAACATCCTGAAGCTTAGGTTACATGGTGAAGCAACAGCACATTTAGTCAAACATCATTTACCTTCTCCTACAGAAGAATGAGATGGTGTTTCGGGTATAATGATTTTGTTCGGAAGAGGGTTAGTTAGACAAGGCCACTTACCGCGCTTCCTGCATAGAGATGGATAACTTACGGTTTCACATACATCCCGTATTATCAGCCCGAGGGTTACGATTGAGCCATGTTCCCAGTAAGCGTTGCAGGAATAGATTACGATTTTCTACAGGGTATCACAAAGCTCCAGGTTTTGACAAGCTGGTACCAGCCTAGATGAACCTAGATGAACATGACCAAATAACATAGAAAAATGTCCCCCTTGAGGCATCTCTTAAATTAACAGAAATCGCTCTCAATCACAGTGATAAGCAAGCAGGTAAAGAAACTGGTCACTGTGACCAACACTATTCTCCGCCATAACACTTTATCGAACAATGAAATCACCCTGCTAACAGAAGTTGAACAGAATAAATACCAAACCATCATGACCATTAAAATTCACAAACTCAAAAGAGACCACGTCCTCAGGACACGGCCAAGCAGAAGACCGCCACTGACCGGACGCCCACGTCATGCACTCATGAACGCACAGCGCAGTGGGTGTCGTGCGGGGATCCTGAGCCGTACGGGCCTGGATTCCTTGGTAAAATAAAGTTTTTACCACTACCACCACCATGTCCCCAACCCTGCGTTACACGAGATAATTCCATACCACTACAACAGCCCCACCAAGGAAACCGGTACAAACGAGCACCTATCTATGAACATGTGACACTGTGATTGTAAACCTATCAGACATGAATTTGTCAACTGACGAAGAAAAACTGCTATACAAAGGACTAAGCTTCTGCCCAACCACAAAATTTTTTGACGAATTTAACTTGCTCCAAGACTTCGACAACTTTGCTATAAGCTTGAGGTCGCGCGAATATTTCTTGGACAGGCCTTCTAACCACGAAAAAATTCACCGTCGTAGAAGAAATAATTGCACACGGAACAGTAATTGAGACAAGTGTCTGGATGTTTATATCACCGCGGTACAGAAAGATATACTACACAAATACCACAGACAGAAAGGAAAGCGAGAAAACTTGACAAAATCTGAAAAATATGAGTATGAGAAATCTGGCACCTAAGACAGACATAACAATAAAACCCACTGACAAAGGAGCAGCAATTGTAGTCCTTAATATAACCAACTACTAACAAGAAAAATACTGCCAACTAGACGACTAGATATTTATCTGGACCCACAGCGAGGATGAACTTCTCAGCTTTATCAACACTTACAACGCTGTACATCCAAACATACACTTCAGACACACCTACTTACAAGCAGCCGTAAATTTTCTTAATGTTACCATAACAATCGAAGAATACAAACTTTCTACAACCCTATATTGCAAACCAACGGATAAACAACAATACCTCCATTACCGAAGCGATCACCCGCTCCACTGTAAAAACAGTATTCCATACAGCCAGGCTCCCTGGTTCAAGCGAATCTGCTCAAGAGACGCTGATTTTGACACGAGCTCACAGAGGCTAAAGCTTATGCTCGATAAACAAAAATACCACCCACATGTAATTGATACCACCACCCACATGAAATACCACCCACATGAAAGTTATAAAACTGAAGCACGATGACTTACTTATGAAGCGACCACCGCAAAAAGACCCGCAACGAACAAACCTCCGCTTAACCGACAGCACCAACTTCCCCAATGTAAACAAAATCATTAAACGACATTACAACATTTTGGAACAAAGAGAACGTCTAAAACGCGCATTTTCATCCGCTCCAGGCGTCGTTTACCGACGACCACGCAACCTCGAAGACACACTTGTCTACTCTCAAATCAATATCTCACCCCCCATAATTCATGTCGACCTTGTTTAAAGTCACGATGTCTTGTATGTAAAGCAATGCGAGAAACAGACAAGGCAAAGAGATACACCTTAATATAACCAACTACTAACAAGAAAAATACTGCCAACTAGACGACTAGATATTTATCTGGACCCACAGCGAGGATGAACTTCTCAGCTTTATCAACACTTACAACGCTGTACATCCAA